CTCGACCAGTTCGTTTGCCGGCAGGCTCCGGCAAGTGGCGCCTGAACAGGGACCTGAATGGATTCCAGCTTACGGCCACCCGAAGACTGAAAGTTATCCCGCGGGAGTTCAGGCATTGTGGATAACTGTGGGTGGAGAGGGTATAGTTGAGAGTAAAAATCACGGGTCAAAATAATAGTAGACAGTTCTTTGTTTTTATGCTAAAAACTATGTTAAAAGCTAGAGGAGTTTCAGTGTCTAAACGGAAACTGGAAAGATTTCTTGCTTTTGTAGAGGAAACTTGTCCTTGGTTCCCAGAGGAAGGAACTGTTAACTTGGAGACTTGGGCAAAGGTGGGAGAACAAATTCAAACTGCTTATACTCTCCATGGGCCAGATAGAGTTCCTCTTGATGTTTATTCCCTATGGACTTTAATAAGAGATTGTTTGAACCCAGAACACGAAAGCAAGAAACTTGAAACAGCTTTGAAACTTATAACATCCAAATGTTCAGATACTCCCCAGAGGGTAGCGGAGCACATATATGACTCCCCAATAATTCCAGGTCCTAGAAAAAATGATGATGAGACTATTGTTCTCGAGCAAGATTCTGATTCAGAACTCTCCACTGAAGACCGAGACGATTTAAGAGAGCAGACTTTTGAGTATAATAAAGAAAGTTGGGATGCCTTTATAGTAACAACACAAAAATAAAGATAAAGGCTCCCCCTTTTCTGAACTTAAAGATATGTTAACATCCATATCTCGGAGACTAGAACAACTAGACTTGTTACCTTTGGATACAGCAAAACCATTGCATTCTAAAACGCCATCTGTTGTAGCCAGTTTAGATCCTGACCCGCTGCCGCCGCCCGTCCCACTCCTTACCCCTCCTCTCGCAGAAGCGCCTTTGATTCCAACAGCGCCTGTATACGTCTCATCTAGCCTAGAAAAGCCAGTCCTTTCACCACTTCAAATGGCTGTGAAAACAGCCCGAGATCAGGGTGAAAATCTTGAAGGATATTCTATGATCTTCCCTGTTTTCGAAGATGAGAATCGCCTCAGGTATCATGAGCCTCTGCCTTTTAAACAGCTAAAGGAGCTAAAACAGGCTTGCGCCCAATACGGGCCTACTGCGCCGTTTACCTTAGCTATAATTGAAAGTCTATCATCTCAATATTTGCCCCCAAACGACTGGAAGGCTGTTGCACGAGCCTGTCTTTCAGGAGGTGAATATCTTTTGTGGCACTCAGAATATGGCGAGGTCTGCAGCAACATTGAACATCGTAACCACCATAATGGGCTGCAGGTTAACTTTGACATGTTAATGGGGGAAGGAGCATTTAGAGACCTTAATCAGCAGTTAAACTATCCTGAACAAGCCTACCCACAGATTAATGAAGCGGCGCTAAAAGCATGGAAAAAACTCCCTGACTCAAATAGAAAGACTGAAGATTTATCAAAAATTAGGCAAGGACCTAACGAACCTTATCAGGATTTCATCGCTTGGTTACTTGATGCTGTGTCTAAATTTATTGGAGATGAAGAAGCTGGCACTATTGTAACTAAACAGATGGCATATGAAAATGCAAATGCTGCTTGCCAGGCCGCTTTGTGACCTTATAGAAAAAAGGGGGGTTTAACAGATTATATAAGAATTTGTGCTGACATTGGCCCTTCCTATCTTCAGGGATTGTCTATGGCTGCTGCTATCCAGGGAAAAACTATCAAGGAAGTTCTATATCAACAGACTAAGAACAAGGGTAGTGTGAAAAAGGGAGGGCCTCCCGGCAGTTGCTTTTCGTATGGACAACTGGGACATCGTATGGCCCAATGTCCTAAGAAAAATAATTTAGATAGGACAAAGAATCCTGATGTATGCCCCAGATGCAAAAAGGGAAAACATTGGTCCGGGGACTGTAGATCAAAAATGGATATAGAAGGCAAACCTCTTCCTCCACAGTCGGGAAACTGGGTGGGGGCCAGCCCCAGACCCCAAAACAATGTTATGGGGCACTTCAGACCGAGCCTCAGCCAAATCTAATTGACTCAGCATTAAAAGCCTTTTCCGAGCCACCCCAGCCAGTGCAGGATTGGACTTGTGTGCCACCACCCACACAGTGTTAACACCTGATATGGGAATGCAAGCCATTCCAACTGGAGTTTTTGGGCCGTTACCAAAAGGAACTGTAGGACTAATTATTGGTAGAAGTAGTTGGACTATGAAAGGGTTGTCAGTGTCCCCAGGGGTGATTGACGCAGACTACATGGGGGAACTTAAAATTATGGCCCATGCACCTTCAAATATAATTAGCATTCCCACCAGTCAATGAATAGCACAACTGATTTTGCTACCTCTTCATTTAGAGGGGAAAACTGCTTCTAAACAAGAATGAAGGACTGATGGTTTTGGCTCTTCTGATGTATATTGGGTGCAGTCCATTTCTGCTGAGCGTCCCAAACTAGATCTTTTTATTGAAAATAAAAAATTTACAGGGATCTTAGACACTGGTGCGGATGTGTCAGTTATAGCTGAAGAGCATTGGCCTCAGCATTGGCCCAAACAGGAGGCCTTTTCCACGTTACGGGGAATAGGACAATCTCAAAATCCACAGCAGAGCAGCAGTATCCTACATTGGAGAGACTCTGAAGGACATGAGGGAGATTTTCAACCTTTCATTCTCCCTCATCTCCCGGTTAACTTATGGGGAAGAGATGTAATGCAGTTTGTTTACCAGCAGGCTCCGGCAGGTTGCCATGCCCTCCTCCAGGGGATCCTCCTGACCCAGGGATTAAACCCACATTTCTTATATCTCCTGCATTAACAGATGAGTTCTTTACCTCTAGGGCCACTTGGGAAGCCCAATGCAGGTTTTAAGTTTATCAAATTTACCTGACCACATATCGTTTTTGTTTGTTTTACTTAACAGTTATTAACATCCCACAGGACAGTAAACCATGAAACAACCCCACATGAAAAACTGATGCAGGAAAATGATTTAGTTAGAGTACTTTCAGAGGGGAGGCTGTTCTATCAGAAGGAATGAGCATTTATCTGTGGAATAGGCAGCTCACAATCTGATGCCATGTAAAGGAATAAGAGCTGTGTAAAAGAACTTTATGTGCCAAACAGTTTAGAAGTCAAGAGGTTCAGCGTTCTTTTTATTAACATATTTATGCCATTTATAAAGTTGTATGCTGTGCAGTGTGTACCTAATGAAAAATAAGGGAGCATGCAAGATGGATCTTCTCCATGTTTTAGCTCCTTATTATCAGTGTTTCATATATATTACTGGAGGCAGTGACTGTAATAGTTAAAAGCATGGACTTTGAAATAGACAGACTCAAGTTCAATCCAGATTCTACTACTTATTAACAGCGTAACCTGCTGCACTGTGGCCCTCTCTAAGCTTCCTTTACCATGTACAAAACTGAAGTAAGCACAGTTCTTACTTCACAGGGTTGTTTGGAGGGTTATACAGATTGATGCAATATAAAGCAGTTATTAACATAGTGCTTAACACATCAAAGAATATTTTCTATTATTTTTAAAAGCTGTTTTGTAGTTTCTTTTCATAAGATCAGCATGAATATATAAAGCAACCTAGCCATTTATCTACTCATCCAAAAGTCAGTCTTACAAATACAAGTAAAGAAATGGAATTAAGACGAATACTAAACCCTATTTCTGAGCCCTCGTGAATCAGCTAGAGTGACCTTCCCCTTCACTCCTCCTCCCAGTTCAGTTCAGATCAGATCAATTTAACAGACACATACAAACTCACCCTGGGTAGGGGAATGTGGAGAAACACAGATAAGTAACTGGAAGCTCTGCTCTCCAAAAGTCAGAGGCTGCTAGGATGCGTTGAGAGGGATTGATTGATTTAAAAGATAGTATAACTACTAATGGCATACTTTGCATGGAATGAATGTGTTTAGTACAAATGCTGAAGAAGGAAAAAAATATGATCAAGGGTTACATGAAATGTGATTGGACTGATTTTCCAGGATACAAATTTAATTTGCAGTCCAGGGGCTTTTCAATTAATGGATAGGTCTAGGTTCTTCTTAGTTAGGCACATGAGAATCTTCAGGTTTATGTACACCTTCCTCTTTCTCAACTTCCTACACCCTGTATCTAATTTTGTCTCCTACAGATATCTTGAATCTATACCTCTTCCCAACCACTTGGACTATAGCTTTAGTCCAGACTCTTGTTTTTGCACACAGTGATTTTCATAATACTTAAAAAAATTGCAGCCCTCTATCAGTCTTTACACTATTGCTTTTCATATTTCTGATTTAAAAAACCTGCTTGTGTCTCTTTGAAAATTGTTATAGATGTATATCTGTTTTTCCACTAGATTGTGAGTTCTTCACTGAGGCACTCATTCAACCCAGTGCCTAGAAGATAATAGGAATTCAGTACATGCTGAACAAACAATTTTTATTTAGACTATTGATAAGATGAAAAAGAGATGCTGGAAGATGTACCACCAGTATTTTTAAAGAAACACTTTGTATTGTACATAGTCTTGCTCTTAATAACCCCTAGGAAGGAATGGTAAACAAGTTTCAATTAATTATGTGATGAGATTAGTCTCACATGCTTTGCTGAAAATGAGGGCTGGTGAATAAAGCGTTGGACTTACCTGTCAGTAGATCCTTATTTAGATTTTCTCTGCTTATAGAAAGAATATACTGCAAGAAAAATATAGTAGATACTGTTTGTTTCTGGAGAATGGGCAAATATGCTTCTATGTTATTCACTTAGCAATAGAAAATACTAATTATTTATCAGAAGGTTGCAAGCTCAGCTTTACAACCATTTAACTTAGTAGCCTTTTTTCTATAAACACTTTAATCAAATACACGCAATACAATGTTCAGGTTTAAACTTAGGCTTTTTCAAAGTTTGATACTATATGAAAACAAGTCTTTTTTTGGTACCAAAAATATTATTTTCACTAAGATAGTTTTAACTATCAAACATAAATCTCAAATATTCATCTTAGGTCTCCAAATCAAGCTGTGAAAAAAAACTTCAGAAATGACAACATTACTAGAATAAGCGTATTATTTCCCAAAGAAACTACTTTGAAATTTTCATTTCAATTTGAAAGGCTGTGTGAGTGTGTGGCGTGGTTGTGTTAGGGTGAGGGTTGGTAGGAATAGGTAGACCCCAGTACATGGGACATGCAGTGGTTGTTTCTGACTTCACAGGGCTGATTGTTCCATGAGACCCAGTCAAACAGTGCATAGGGCCTATGACACTTTTAGGGGTTCACGAAAATAGTTTTAGTTTATTTCAAAATCATAAGAAAAAATAAATATAAGAACATGAATATAAGAATATAATATATATTGATTCTTAAAAAGATAAGAATAAATCCAGTCTGGATTATATTAAAGCTTAATGTAATCTTTATATCAGTGTGCTCATATAGTCTAATTTTTAATATTTATTGATTTATAGGGTCCCACAAAGCAAAAGTGTCTATCTGTTTCCCTGGTGGCTCAGAGGTTAAAGTGTCTGCCTGCAATGCAGGAGACCCAGGTTCAATCCCTGGGTTGGGAAGATCCCCTGGTGAAGGAAATGGCAACCTACTCCAGTATTCTTGCCTGGAGAATCCCATGGACAGGGAAGTCTGGTGGGCTACAGTCCATGGGGTCGAAAAGAGTCGGACACAACTGAGTGACTTCACTTACTCTTACTCACTTAGGGCTCATGAAGGTCATAATGCAGTCTTGCAATTCAGGACAAATCTATTGCTTTAAAAATTTAAAGCATGTAAATTTCAAAATTATGGGGCATTACAACATTTAACACAAATATGGTCTTTTATTCACCTTGATCCCATTCAAATATAGGCATATAAAATTAACAGCTAAATCTATACTTGGTGTAAAAATAACTTGGTCATGCTAAAGAGACAATAGTAGACTGAGGAGGAGCTTCCTGTGTCTTTGTCATAAATTAAAATTAACAGGAACTTTGTAATTCTCTGCCTATGGTTCTGTTTTCCAGTCTTCTACATCATTAATGTTTGCATTTCAACAGAAACCACACTTGTTATTCTAAGTGTACTAGGAAACATTCAAATTATGAAGTCTTATTAACATAAGGAAAATATTCTTTCCTTGTCAGCTGATCCCTATCAGGCTTAGTTGAGATAAAATGGGGGCTGATCATCTGGGAACCAGTAGACATGTTGGTCCTGCAGAAGACTAGGGAGAGTCCTGGTCTATTCCGCTCCATATCTTTGGGCAGTTTCCTATTATAACCATAACTTGGAGTCACTGACATCAAGCTTCACTTCTCCAATACATATTCTAAAAGCTTACCTGGTGAAGAATAAGTAAGAACAAGAACAAACAAGTGAAGAGCTGTAAAGTGACTCTTGTAACCAAAAAACTCACTAAGAAAACCTAAAGGAAATAGGATAATCTTCTTCGGAGATTTGTAAGACAATAGTTGCAGGGCTGACTTTTTCAAATATGCTAGGAAAAAGTGTTTACATTGTTGTCCTGATAGACTTCAAATGAGAATGTTTTCTGTAAGGGGGTGTCATTTCTTTATTTTGGGTACAGGAGTTTAGGAATAGGAATTGGGGGAACTCTGGCCTGCTCTGTATATTAGAGGATATTTTGATATTTGGCAACTGGGGAGGGAAATGAGAGGAACCAGCAAGACAGTTATAGCAAAGGAGAAAGGGCAGAGAAAATAACAGCTAGGGGAGGAAGGCCCAGAGAAAGGGATATAGAAAAGATTTCAGAAGTCAAATTGTATACAGTAGGAACTTATGAATTTTTTGCTGTGCACTGCACAATGTGGGCCTTCCATGACCCCCCAGGTCTTCAGTATATTCATGTGTATTTTTTTCCTCAAATATAATTTATTTAGCACTGTGCAAATTACCATGAGCTTTACATACCGTAATGAGTCATGGATTATTTTTAGCTGTTTGCACAGAGACCTGACCACAGTAGCTTATGTACACTACAGTTGTTTTTTTTTTTTTTTTTAACTTAAAAAAAAGTCTAGAGGTATCTCAGGGACATCCACAAGTTCATCAGCGTCCTCCTCCTTTCTGCTCCACCATCTTTAGCATGTAGCCTCCTTCTGCAAAGTAGCCTCATGGGCAAATATGGCTGCTTCAGCCCTTGAAATCTTGTTTGTGTTCCAGGAGGAAGGCTATTAATATGCATTTTGAGTGTGGAAATGGGTAAAAATCATGAGTTTCATGTATGGTTATCAGGGTACATAACCAAAACTAGAGGAGAAGGAATGGACACCAAGAGGCAGCAGAAGCCAATACGCACACCCCCTGGATACTGGAAGAAATCTTGGGGTGATGGGGATGACTTTGCCCTTCCACAGGTTATGGAATTGACCAATTCAAAGCAAATTTATACAGTTCTTAAAAGATAAGGAGGGCGCATTTTCGACTCCAGTATAAAAATAATGATGCAAACCTATAAATTTAGCATTAACCCAGTTCTTAAGAATTGAGGAATGGCAGGATTCCTCAATGCAGAAGGATGCAGAAGGATCATTTCCTTCTTCTGTATTAAAGGCCTTGAAATGAGAACTTGCACCAACACTTTCACCTTCTTGGGGAGTCACTGGTGATGGACCTGTTTCTCCCTCACCCCTCTCTCTTTCTCACTTGGTAAAAGTCAGGAAGTCAGTTTTAGTCTCAGGTCCAAGTCACTCTTCTCATCCACTTTCCCTGCTATTTTGAATCATATCTTACTCCTTGATCTATTCATACTGTATTGGTCCAATCTCCAGGGAAGAGATGGATATGATGAATTGAATTTCCTCAGCATAATCAGTGTTAATCCAAAAGAAAGGTGGAATGACTATTATGCCTATTACGGGAAGAATATCACTCTCATTTTAGAAAAAAGAAATAGTGTAGCTAAGCAGCACTTCCAGCACTCCTGTGAGGGCCTCCTACACCATGCTCACTGGTTGTTGTCTGTAAGGAAACTTGTCCAGTTTCTCCCTTAATGTTGACCTCCTGTAGTCATGCATCCTGTTTCTTTATCTGTAAAGCAAGGTGGTTGGAGGCCATGCATCTAAAGCTGCTGACTGCTGTGAGATTCTGTTATCTCAAAGTGCATTTGCAAGCTCTCATCCAATGCACACCTGACACTTAAAAATTTATGCTTTTTAGAAATTTGGTCTCACCCAATTCTCCCCATAAAAAAACTATTATTTGATTGGAATGATGCTATTTTGTTGCCAGTTGAAGATTTGAACAAACTATCTGTTTCAAGCCTTACTTTTCCTTCTCTGAAAGTCAAAGATTTCCTCCCTCTCTGAACATAAGAGCTCAGTGCTCCTACCATTGCTTGGCTGAGTTCTTTTCACAGTGAACATAGAGAAATTTTCATAGGACTACTGCCTGTTGTCCCCAGGTTGCAAGTTCCTCAGCAACTCGCCCACAGGAAGACAATTACTGTTTATAGAAAAGGTACATATAGTTAGTATAGTCTGTTCTTGACTTGCATGTGTAAATCATGTCATGTCCAACTCTTGGAGACACCAATGACTAGCCCACCAGGCTGCTCTGTTCATGGGATTCTCTAGGCAAGAATACTGGAGTGGGCTGAGATTCCCTCCTCTAGGGGATTTTCCTTTCCCAAAGAAAGGCAATGCCAAAGAATGCTCAAACTACCGCACAGTTGCACTCATCTCCCATGCTAGTAAAGTAATGCTCAAAATTCTCCAAGCCAGGCTTCAGCAATACATGCACCATGAACTTCCAGATGTTCAAGCTGGTGTTAGAAAAGGCAGAGGAACCAGAGATCAAATTGCCAACATCTGCTGGATCATCGAAAAAGCAAGAGAGTTCCAGAAAAACATCTATTTCTGCTTTACTGACTGCCAAAGCCTTTGACTGTGTGGATCACAATAAACTGTGGAAAATTCTTAAAGAGATGGGAATACCAGACCACCTGACCTGCCTCTTGAGAAATCTGTATGCAGGTCAGGAAGCAACAATTAGAACTGGACATGGAACAACAGACTGGAAATAGGAAAAGGAGTACAGCAAGGCTGTATATTGTTACCCTGCTTATTTAACTTATATGCAGAGTACATTGTGAGAAACACTGGGCTGGAAGAAGCACAAGCTAGAATCAAGATTGCCGGGAGAAATATCAATAACCTCGGATATGCAGATGACACCACCCTTAAAAGAAAGCAAAGAACTAAAGAGCCTCTTGATAAAAGTGAAAGAGGAAAGTGAAAAAGTTGGCTTAAAGCTCAACATTCAGAAAACAAAGATCATGGCACCTGGTCCCATCACTTCATGGCAAATAGATAGAGAAACAGTGGAAATAGTGGGTGACTTTATTTTTGGGGGCTCCAAAATCACTGTAGATGGTGAGTGCAACCATGAAATTAAAAGACGCTTTGGCATCACTGACTCAATGGACATGAGTTTGGGTAAATTCCGGGAGTTGGTGATGGACAGGGAGACCTGGCATGCTGCAGTTCATGGGGTCACAAAGAGTCAGACACGACTGAGTGACTGAACTGAACTGAACTGAGATCTTCCTGACTTAGGGCTTGAACCTGCATCTCCTGAGACTCCTACATTGCAGGTGGATTCTTTACTGCTGAACCATGGGGAAAGTCCATTGAATGCTTATTAGGGACTGGGCCATTTCTAAGCATCTCCTATGAATTAACCAGTATGTATTTTTGAATTCTAAACAAGCAAACAATGTCAAAACAGAGCTAGAGAAGAAAGGCAAGGTCAACAAGCAAGTAGCTGGTTCAAGATATTAGACTCAGCAATTACCATTTTACAAAAAAGTATCTCCAGGTAAACCTACCTGTGACTTTGTCCCATAGGGAATAGCAGACTTTTTTCCTGAAAGAGAGTGAATCATTCTTGCTCTCATGGGGATACCCTGGGATACAACCTGAAATAAAATCAGAGATGTCTATTTCAATTTCCATAATGTAGCATCATGCCAATAAAATAGATATTGACTCTAAAATGTGATTATTCAAAAATTTTCCAAAAATCAAAAAATAATGTAAAAGACCATGGGAACACAGTATGGTAGAAATTTAATAAAAAGTATGCTCCTACAAATTTTAGTTTTTAGGGTCTTTTTTAACTTTAGATTTTAAAATAGACTTAAAAGTTTATCTGGACCTAAAACAAATATTACAGGTGAGGAAACAGTTCATTGTCAGAGATTAAGTTCTTTTTTATGATTACAAAAGAATAAAGCATGAGGAGTAAATAACAGGATTCCTGAAGTGCAGTGCAAAGTGTTTTCCTACTCATGCCTAAGAAAAATGTGGAAATGCAAATAACACTTATGTAAACTTATCATTTCAAAGACACACTCTCACAAAAATACTGTCAATAAAAATATACTATTTCTCTTTACATTTCCAAGATACATGATAGTGAGAAGTTTGACAATCTTGAGTCTATATGAGGAAAATCTGTAACAGGCCCACAATCTTCATCCAAACACTAAGAGTTCATTGGTTTCAGAATTCAGAACTTTTCAAAGTTTAGATAGGTAATGAGTGCATATGTGGATAGGTCATGACACACAGACTAGTCTAGGACACCACCCCATAACACAATATTTCTTTAGCAAAACATATTCACACTAAAAAGAATTTCTTTCAGAGGCTAAAAAAGTCTGCATCAGGTCAAGTTTGCTGCTGAATGGGTGATGAAAAAGCTTTCTAGTCCCAGAGCTTTTTGGAGTACAGAATTGTGATAAGAGATTATGGACCTACGTAGTCAAAAGAATGGATGTTGCCTGCCTCCTCTCACTCCAGATGCCATCCCAGGTCACACACAAATAAAAGGCAAAGATTAACCATCTTGTTGATGGCCCTGTGTCAGAAGTGATAACCAGGTTTCCACCTGGTACAACTTCCACCTGCCCTACCACATGCTCTGCCCCCTCCCCAGTCAGGTGCCTCAAGTGTGAAATGTCCACCCTGCTGTGAATTTAGAAGTTTGAAAACCTCTGTAAAACAGTTCTCATGCAGTGATTTTTGTGGCATTGAGTGCTACTTTGAACTTAGAGAAATCAAGACTGTGCAATTGTTGAAAAGCAACAGGTATTATCTTCTGTAAGGAAAATGCATTCACAAGGTACCTGATCTTCCAGGCCAATGGCTTTCAAGGCTTCTCGTCCTCTATAAGAAAGGGCCAAATTAATGCTTCTTCCACGTGCAGATTTTGTCACTCGGATATCTAAGACATTGGAAGTAGACCTCATGTTACACACAATTCCTATATCCTAAGACAGGGTGAGCACATATACCTGAAAAATGGGTGCCATCTGGACCAAATTAAAAGATTTTGTTAACTCTTTTAAAGAAAACACGGATAGTAATGAATTTGCATTAAATTAAATTTAGATTGTTGAGGGTTTTAATGAAGTCTAACGGTTTACCTTAAATTTTTTTTTTCTTTTTAAACTCTAAAGGAGTAAGAAGTCAAAGAATCAGAACCACATCTCACATTATTCAGTATTGTCTCACCTTCTCTAGCTTCATATACATTAACTTGGAAATTCCTCTTGGCAAGGAAGCATGCATTTAATGATCCAACCTAGGAAATCAAAGCAAAATTTTTTCATATTTTTATCTGATTTCACAAATATAGGGAATTTTTGCTGACTAAGTGTTGAAGCTGAAACTCCAATACTTTGGCCACCTGATGCGAAGAGCTGACTCAGTTGAAAAGACCCTGATGCTGGGAAAGATTGAAGACAGGAGGAAAAGGGGACAACAGAGGATGAGATGGTTGGATGGCATCATTGACTCAATGGACATAAGTTTGAGTAAGCTCTGGGAGTTGGTGATGNAACCTCAGATATGCAGATGATACCACTCTAATGCCAGAAAGCAAAGAGAAACTAAAGAGCCTATTGATGAAGGTGAAGGAGGAGAGTAAAAAAGCTGGCTTAAAACTCAATGTTTTTTTTAAAAAAAACTAAGATCTTGGCATCTGGTCCCATCACTTCATGGCATATAGAAGGGGAAAATGTGGAAGAAGTGACAGATTTCCTCTTCTTTGGCTCTACAATCACTGTGGATGGTGACTGCAGCCATGAACTTAGAAGATGATTGCTTCTTGGCAGGAAAAGCTATGAGAAACGTAGACAGCAAAGACATCACTTTGCTAACAAAGGTCCATATAGTCAAGGCTATGGTCTTTCCAATAGTCATATATGGATATGAGAGCTGGACAATAAAGAAGGCAGAGTGCCAAAGAATTGATGTTTTTGAACTGTGATGCTGGAGACTTTTGAGATACCCTTGGACTGCAAGAAGATGAAACCAGTCAATCCTAAAGGAAATCAACCCTGCATTTTCATTGGAGGGACTCATGTTGATGCTGAAGCTTATGCTCCAATGCTTCGGCCATCTGATTCAAACAGCTGACTCGTTGGAAAAGACCCTGATGCTAGGAGAGATTGAAGCAGAAGGAAAACAGGGTGACAGAGGATGAAATGGTTGGATGGCATCACTGATTCAAAGGATATGAACTTGGGCAAACTCTGGGAGATGGTGATGGACAGGGAATGGGGCCCCAAAGAGTTGAACATGACTTGGTGACTGAACAGCAATGCGTTCTCAAACTATCAAATGTAGTATTGGTTGGGTAAGATGAGGAGAAGTGTGGTTTTAATTTACATAAATAAATAGACTTATTTCTAAAGCGATTGAACATTTTTTCATGTGTTGATTCCCTATTTGGATCTTCTCTTCCGTAAAGTGTCTTTCTGGCCCACATTCTATTGGGTTGTCTGTGTTTTTCTATTGATCTTTAAAGTTATACAGAGATCTGAATACAGGGTCTGTCATTTTAAAATGTTGCAAATAACTTCTTCCATTCTGTGGCTTGTTTTTTACATTCTATAGTATTTTTAATGATGAGAATCTCTTTTATTTTTGTGTAGTAACATTTATCAATCTTTTATACTACTGTTAATGCATTTGATATACTGCTTAAGAAATCTTTCCCTACTTTGAGATTATGAAGACATTTTTGTTTATTGTCTTCTTGAAGCTTTAGTGTATTGCTCTCCTAAATAGCTTTATACATATTGCAGTGATTTGTTTAATTTATCACTACTGAGCAACTTGAATTTAATAACACTCATCCACATTTAATTATCACAAACTTTCAGCAGCATCCAATACTGCTAATTAACCTTTCTTCTTGAAACACTAAGCTTCCTTCATTTTCTGTTGTTTTTTATGCATCTCTAGCCATTTCCTCTTTTTCTCTTTTACCCATGCAAAGAAGGACAATCAAATGTTGGGGTTTCTTTTTTTTTCAATTGGTGGAAAATTATTTTACAATTTTGTGTTAGTTTCTGCTGTACAACAACTTGAATCAGTCAAATTATACACACACACACACACACACACACACACATATATATAAATACATGTATGTATGTATGTTTGTATATATATCCCTTCTCTCCCCTCCCACCATCCCACCTCTCCATGTCACCACATAGCACCAGGCTGGGCTTCCTGTGCTGTTTAGCAACTTCCCACTATTTTACATATGACAATGTTTATATGTCAATGCTACTTTCTCAATTCATCTAACCCTCACCTTCCTCCGCTGTGTCCACAGTCCATTCTCTACTAGGTTCATCAGTACCATTTATCTATATTCCATATATATTTGTTAATATACAGTACTTGTTTTTCTCTTTCTGGTATTTCACTCTGTATAAGAGACTCTAGTTTCATCTACCTCATTAAAACTGACTCAAATTCATTTCTTTTTATGGCTGAGTAATATTCCATTGTATGTATGTACCACATCTGTCAATAGACATCTATGTTGCTTCCATGTCCTTGCTATTGTAAATATTGCTGCAATGAACATTGGGGTACATATGTCTTTTAGAATTGTGGTTTTTCTCAGGGTATGTGCTCAGCAGTGGGATTGCTGGGTCATATGGTAGATTTATTCCTAGTTTTTTAAGGAACCCCAACACTTTTTTCCATAATGGCTGTATCAGTTTTCATGCCCACCAAAGAGTTGGGATTTCTGAAGCATCCATCGTGGTCCATCGTCTACATCCATGGTGATGCAGAAACTTACATCTCCCACTCAGATCTCTTTTTTTGAGCTCATGCATATAGATGTTTAAGGGCTTCCCACGTGGCTCATTGGTAAAGACTCTGCCTGCTAACAGGGAGATGTGGGTTTAATCCTTGGGTCAGGAAGATCCCTTGGAGAAGGAGATGGCAATATTCTTCTCCAATATTCTTGTCTGGGAAATCCCATGGTCAGAGAAGCTTGGCAGGCTATAGTCCATGGAGTCATAGAGAGTCAGACACGACTTAGTGACTGAATACCAACACAACCACATATAGATATTTAATTGATGTAGCTTTTTAAATGTCTCAAAGCACCTCAGAATCAGTAAATACAAATTGAAACTTGTGACCTTTGCCCCAAATCATGTCAGTTCTCTTCACATGGAATGGATGGTATATCTCAGAGAATGGCATCTCATCCATTCTTTTGCTCAAGCTAGAAATCTAAGAGTCATCTGTGGCACTTCTCCATTCTCCACATCCAATCCATTCTAAGTTCTGCCAATTCTACCCTGTAATTTTTTTCCATCTATCCATCTCTTCTCATTTTCACCATTCTGCTTCTAGTTATTATAATCATTCTGCTTGATTAACGTCATTTGCTTCTATTCTATTAGCATTCATCTGACTTCTTGACCACTGACTCTCTACAAGCAGTCATTTGGTGTAATGGTGAAATAGGTCATTTGGATGAACTCTTCTGCTAAGAGAAAAAGAAAGCCCAGACAAGTGAACTTAGCATTTGGAGCCACACCTCGGGTTATCTATTGATTGCAGAGGAGGCAAAGAATTTCAACAGAATTTTTGATAGACCCATGATGCTACAAGCACAAAATCTGGAGTTTAGGACATACCCCCACATCCTGCTCAGGAGGGTTTAATAAATGCCCAGGCTTTGGGTTAGGACTCTCAATAAGTATCTAAGAAGTAGGGTCAACTGGAAATAAATCAATGATCAAAGGGACCAAAGTAGGTCTAAGAATCTTCTCTAGCACTGATTGGATTGTGTCCATCCGGGATTGCTGGTAACCATAAGCACCTGACAGCAGCAAATATAGTCCTCCCAGAGAAACACGGCATCACTGTAGGTCTAAGATTTTCTCTGTAATGTTTTTAAATTATGGAGATCATGTCAGTTTCCCACCTCAGCTTTGCCAGCCTTCTTTCAGCTGCTTGTTCTCACCATGCTCTCCCGCACCAAAAGATTTCTGTGGTGAACAATCTTCTCCTCTTTTCTCTTTCTAGTAAATGCCTATTCATCCTCAAGTTTCCACTCAGCTTTACTTCCTTAAGGAAGCCTCCTTAGCTATTGTAATGACCTCAAACCCCCTGCTTATGAGTTCTCACAGCGCTACAGACTTTTCCTTTGAGAAGCATTAAGGGTTGAACTGTGGTTCCCCAAATTCATATAGGGCTTCCCTGGTGGCCAGCGGTAAAAAAAACAACAACAACAAAAAAAAAACACCTGCAATGCAGGAGACTGAGGAGATGTGAGTTCTATCCCTGGGTTCGGAAGATCCCCTAGAGGAGGAATGACAACCCACTCCAGTATTCTTGCCTGGGAAATCCCATGGACAGAGAAGCCTAGAGGGGAGGGCTACCATCCATAGCATCGCAAGGCATCAGATATGACTGAGCAACCGAGCACAAGAATGAACATGAAATTCATATGCTGAAGCCCTAACCCCAGTACCTCAGAGTATGACCTTATTTGGAGACAAAGTCTTTACAGAATTAATTAAGTTAACATGAGGTCACTAGAGTGCCCCTAAATTCAATATGATGGGCATATTTATAAAAGGGGGAAATTTGGACACTGAGACACTCTCAGAGGGAAGATGATGTAAAGAGACACAGGGAGAAGACAGCCATCTACAAGCCAAGCAGAAAGACCTGGAACAGATCTTTCTCACATAGCCCTGAGAAGGAGCCAACCCTTTTGACATCCTGATTCTAGACCTCTAGCTTCCAGAACTGTGAAATGATAAATATCTTTTGTCAAATCACCTGCTTGTGGTACTTGGTTATGGCAGCCCTAGGAAACTAATAGAAAGTGCTTATCACAATTGAAAGCTTACATCCTTAAGGTAATCCTATAATCAATATCTTTTTACCCCACTGAGTTGAAAACTGTTTTTGCTCATCATTTTATCCCTGACCAAAAGCATTGTGTTTGCAACATAATAAATACCTGATTGACATGTGTTGAATTTATAAATGAATAGTAGAGATTACATTTTAAAGTAAAATTTGTAACCAAATCAAGCCACCTATGTTTATCTATAGAGAGGAAGAAAACCACTGGAATCAAGCAGACTGGGATTCAGCCTTGTGGTTGGAATAGAAAGCAAGGAGTTGAAGTATTAGTTGGATTGATGGACAATAGCAGTTAAGCCAGATGGGAAGGAAGGAAAACAGAAAAGGCTTACGAACGAGGCAGGTAGAAAGTCCCTGTGAAGAACAGATGTAGCACAAGCA